TTTTTTAGTGCAAAGAAACTGAATAAAAAGAAAATTATAAGCAGAAAAAATTAGAGTATAACAAAAAAATAATAATAATAATAATGACTCAACTAAGCTTGAAAATTGACATATGCAAAGTCAAACTAAATTTTCCAATTCTAATATAAAGTAAAAATATAGACTAAAAATTAATAGATCAGAACTCCTCTTTTCCACCCTTTTCCATAGTTTGTCATGAAACAAAACAAACAGATTTGACGTGTGCACAGTTGTGAAAGGGACAATGTTCATAAAGAAACAATATAACAAAAGTGACACACGATTCAATAAGCAGGAGGAAAACAATAATCATCCTCGTATATATATATATATATATATATATGCATACGAATCAACAAATGGCGCTTCAATTTGTAAGAAAATCCAAATAAAAACAAAAATAACAAATAGGTATAGAGTATAAACTGTACAGATCAAGTGACTTATAACAGGAGATCTGCGAAAATATGCAATACTACATGGAAAACTACATAGAAATTGCCTTTCAAAAACAAAAAACTTATAGAGAAACCAAAACAATACAGATAAAACGTGTATTAAAAATCCCCAAAACAAAAACTGCAAGAGATACCGATGGAAACAACCAACGATTTATCTCTGTAAAAGTAGATAGCCAAAAAAAAAAAAAAACAAATATACAAAATGAATCGTAAAAGAAGAACAACAAAATGAATAAAAAGCATGTTTGATCTTGAAAAATGAACCAAAATAAAAGCTATACTAAAAAAAAAAAAACAAACAAAGAAGAAAAAACGAATCCCAAGACATATGTATGTATCACCCGTACCAATGAAAAACGAGCCTCGAAAACCTTCGGGAAAAGGCGACTGAAGCAGACATCGATTAAAGAAACAACCACACAGTAGAAAACAGAGAAAATAGGAAATGTATGCACCAAAAATACGTCAAAAATGTTCACAAGCAATAAACATGGTGTGTGTGTGCTCGCGTGAGAGAGAGACAGAAAGAGATTATACTAGTCTTTTCTGGAGACGAAGAAGGAGGACGAAGGTGTCTGAGAACGCTAGAAAGTTGTAAACCCTAGGTCGGTTATGCAGACGAGGGAGTCTCTGCAACGGAAGTGTCAACTTTCAGTGGTAGTGGTAGTAGTCTCAGAGCTGCAGAGCTGCATTTCTCTAGTTTGTTTTTAAAACGAAGCGTACGTACTCAGACGGCGTATCACATGTCGATTTTGTTGCCACGTGTCCCTTGACACCTTTTTCTTCTTTCCTCTTATAACCCTCTCATTTATTGCCAAGTTATATTGCACTCCACTTCGGACAAAAGTTCTCTTCAATTAACCGTTGGTCCTGTAATGGAAAAATATAAATCAATAAATAACTGTTAACCATCGTTTAACCGTAGTCTGATTAAAAGTAACTCGAGTAACGCTGAATCCAGGGACCGAAACGTCTTTTGCTAAAGTCCCAAAATAAAATAAATATAAAAAAAATCATAGAATTCAAAACCAAAATGAACATCGACTTTATCGCCGATCAAGTTCAATGCCTCAAAATCGACTAGACGACGCGCTCTCTCTCTATATATATATATTCTTGGTTGGCTGTATATATGTATACATGTAGATATATATATATACATTCCTTTGTCTGTTCTCTCTCCCCCTGGTGGAGAGAGTTATCTCACAAACCCTAAATCGCATTTTTCTCGTATCGCAGACGCAGAGGAATGGGTCGAATCGGTTATGAGGAAGGGTCTAGGTGGGGCCTCGAATCGGAGGGAGAAGTGGAAGGTCTTTGGCATACGGAAGCTGGAGGACGTGATCCTCAACATCACTGTCAAGTAATCCCGCAGATGGTCCCACTGGGTCCCACCTCGTCTTGCCATTACAACGGAGGAGAATTTTTTGGGTGCCCCACCCAATAAAAACACTTGCGATTTTATCAGTTAATGTCCACGTCATCATAAACAAGGCGGCAAGGCCATTCTTTTGTACGGAATATCACTTACTGTATTTTTCTCATGTGTGACAATATTTCTTATTTATAGGTTTTGGTATTTTTATACCTAAGTTAGTATAGGACATCTTTGGATTATTTGAAAATTTAGAGAAGTTGATATTTGAAGAAAAATTATTTTTAGGCAGATTTGCCTAATCTATTTGCGTAATCAAAAGAGTTCTTACTCCTTTGATGAGATTGACTATATCAGGTGGATAAAAATTTCTTCGACTATATAAAATATTATTTTGATCAATTGAAAATTGAAATGTTTTGATTTTTTTTTTTTTTTTTTTTTTTTTTTTTTCTCTTTCTCTAACAGTTTTAGTGAGTTTGGTATGTTTAGTATAGCTATTGTCTCGATGAAGTGTAAATTTATAATGAATAATTGTAGCTTTTGGTATTATGAATATGTAAAGCCAAAAAAAATATATACCCTGATACAGGTTTATTGCAACAAATTGATTTCTACTTAAAATAATTCAAGCTAATAATCAGGAAAGTTCAAATTTGAAAATTAAAATGCCATTTGCAACACAGCATAAGTTCATTTATTCATTTATGTTTCTTTACATTTCAAGTAAAAAAAATTATGGTTACAACAAAATAAAATTATAAGTTTCAATTTCATTATAATAAAAATGATTATCATTACAAAAATAATGACGAATTTATTAATCAGTCATGTTTGCAAGATATAAGGAAATAGTGAATCTCACCTCCTTATAGTTTTACATACATGACCAATCCTTATAATTTGCGTACATGATCTCATGGTTCATAGTATCGGTTACGATCTCAGACAAAGTTAGTGAAAAGTGACCAATACAAATCGCGCATCAATTGATACGGCAAACGATGCATGATGCATGATCCGGAGATTTATTTATTTTTTTTAACCATTGCAAACATGACCAATTAATAGATTGCTCGGCATTTCTAATTCTTTTGTCTTATCATGTATCTAGATTGAAATTTGTAGATACTATCAAAGATGTGTTTGTGTTTATAAAATAAATTGAGTGATGATACAGGAACCGACCCCTTATCACCGAATTAGACCCCGAATCTGATGTGGCGAAAGCCACTTCACTCGCTCAATCCTTCCCCTGGAAGACAATTGCTCAACCATTTGAAACGGACAATTTACCTTCATAAAGTCATCTTATTTACATTTCAAACCCTTTCACTTTTTCTCTCTCAGATTTATCGGATCACTGCGTGGAATTTCTTCTCCATCTCCGTTCGCTGTCTTACCCACTCCTCCACTGCCACCATCTCTTTGTTCTCTTTCGTCCCCACTCCTCCACTGCCACCACCCCTTTGCTTCACATCTCTCTCTAAAAAAACCTTCAAATTAATTTATTCTTCTCCATGATATAAACCAATAGATCCATCAAAACCTTTCAAATTTATTCCTTTTCCATGGCATAGACCAATTTATTCTCTTTTGTTGTCTTCTTTCTTCAAAGAAACTCAAGTCAACAGAACACCATAACATAGACCAGTAAACCCATTTTTCCTTCACAAAACCGTAATGAGGCTTAGAGATTAGGGCAGATATGTGAGAGAGATGCGAAATTGGAGAGCGGGTCCGAATTGTTAAGAGAAAAGAGAAGAAGAATCTGATTTCTTTGCTGGGTTTGAATTCGTTTGATGGGTAACTCTTCATTTTCATGGCGAATCGTTAAATTGAATGTTGGATCGGTGATAACGATGGAGAGTAATTGTTTATTTATTGCTATTGATGAGATAATATACTGTCATGTATGAGGTTGTGGAGGTATAATTGCTATAGACGGAGTGTGAGGGTTTGTTTTTCCTCTTTTTGAAGTTTTTCTTAGTGTGCTCTGGTGCGAAATAAATATGAACCATCAATGTTATTGCAGATTGAAAAGAGGAGGAGAAAAGTCTTGATATCCAAGAAAGTGATACTCAAGAAGGGATTCGACGGTGTAAACTTGGTTTGATCGGGAAATTATTGACTGACAGAATAGTGAATTTGAATGTGATCAAATAAAAGACTTTAGCCGTGCTGAAGAGGGAGAACGGGCACAGTCTCGTTAAAGAATCTGACGTGGTTGAGCTACGTTAAGTTCGGTTCTTCATTGGTGATAAGATTCGGTTTCCTTATCATTATTCAAATAAATTACGTCAATTAAGTGAAGTAAAATCAAAAGCACAAATTCGCATATAAAGAACCCTAGTAATGAGATCCAAACTTTTTATGGGAAAATCACAATTCATGGATTGTGGGATTTAAAGAGAAGGCCAAAAATAAATAAAAGTGCATCTTAGAAATAAGTTTATAGGGATCATCGAATCAATAGCAATAAGCCCCGTTTGAAGAGGCTCATATACGGAACGTCGCGAAATAATACCCGGAGCGGGGGATTCAATTAACCGAGATTCGAAAGCTGAAATTTCACCTCTACCATCAATAGGTTTAGCCAGGGCATTTATAACACGACCCAAATAGGCCTCACTCACCGGTATCTGAGCCTCCCGGAATTTGATTGATTTATTTATTCTTTTTTTACATACGGAAGAAGAAAACTAACATTTAGAGGACAATCAACACAAGGTTACTTTACCCACTTTTACCTTTCATGATAAATTAGCTAAACTAAGGAAAAACAAAAAAAAGAGTTTTAAAAGAAAGAATCGAATTCTTTCTAAGGGTGTTAAACGAAACAAAAAAATGGGTTATCAAAAGCATTCTATTTATAAAAAGAATACTAAAAGAACTTTCAAAAGTAAATTTAATTCTATTATTTAGATTGAAAGAAGTAGATGAGTGGAAAAAGTTGATGAAGAAGATATGTTGAGAATTGACAAGAATGCACTCTATAAATGTTATTCCAAACACACCCTAACAGGTTGGTAAAAGAGAACAATCAAAGCTATTACAGCAGTAAAACTGAAGGCAACATATTAAATTAGAAGGTTGGGGAATAATAATGTAACAAAGGGAGAGAAATTCGTTACAAACATCAGTAAAAGAATAATTGGTTCCTTTTTTTTTCTTTTCTTTGTTTTTTTGTAATTATCAAAACAAAATAGCTGGTCTGAAGTCCAGAAATGATGAACAATACTACAGTAGCAACTTGAACAAGAAGCAGCATTGGGGAGCAAGAACTTGAACTTATAAAATACATCTTGGCAAAAGCCTAATTCACATAAAGTTCCCCAAACAAAATTTCAATTCAACTACTGTCTCGAGATTCGAACACAAAATAAAATTAAGGCGATTTTCACCAAATATAATTTAATGCTATGGCGCTGAGGATGCTTGTCGGCATTGTTTTCACCAAGAAGCACAAAGAGAGGACGTACGAATCTGAGCTTTCAGTGGTATGATTTAAGGTGGAAAACTTGGCATGCCGGCTTGTATGATCTCTTGGTGGCAGCCTGCTCAAACTTCTTAGTGGCAACTTCATTCTCTTCTAAACTGGTCTGAACAAAATACCTTATCCACCATGATGAGCTCCGCAATTTGGCCTTCGCAAGAAAAAAAATCCCAGCATGTTATTCTTGTAAGTCAAACCAGTGATTTTTATCTAATAGGAAAACAAAATAGATTCCTTATCCAGAATTAGCAAGCAACAAGCAACAAATGTTACCTACAAGATACATGAATAAAAATTAAAATAAATAAAAAGTTTAAACAAACATGTGGAAGTTATTGTTTAGATAGAATGCATGTCTCTTGACAAGTGATTCTAACAAATCAAGCATTAAATGAGCAAAGCTTGCTTTAGATCTCATTTCAAGGTGTATTCTGCTTTAATTCCTAACAAGACAAGACACAAAAATTATCTTATATTCTTACGCATATCTAGAAGGACAAAATTTAAACAACTTTTGCCATTATATCCAAAGTGTAGGTACAGAAAATCTGTCCGAACGTGGTTGAGTTCAAGCAAGGACTTTTCTATATGAACACCGGAATTGCTTGCCTTTCATTGGGGTCTTTAGCCCGTATTTATAGAGTTCCATAATGGAGTTTCCTTATCTTGCAGAATCCTTCTTGGGTAGAACATGGATTACGGTTGGGCCTGGTTCTTTCTATGTTTTGTAAGGCAAAGATTAGTTTTTTATTAGCAGGCACAATGGTGTTTAAGCTCCTAACTCCAACACAGTACTTTGCAGCGACATCTAAAGAGAGTTTACCACACAAAATCTCCTTGATAAACTTTCTATAATACTCTAAAACTCAAATTTTGAGTATAATGAAGCAAATTATACAAGCAGACACGCTGGCCAAAATAAATGCATTGGATAAAACAAGTTCACACTAAAGATCCATTCAGTTGCCACTTGCCAACAAAAAGAAGGCAAAACATGAAATTAACAACCTTGACCAAAAATCACTTCTGACGATAGTAGCAACACAAACATCAGATAAGTGGGAGCTTTCTGGAATTGGAGTTCAGAATTTTGAAACATGCACTACTTCCAATGGGATTCCATTTGGATCCATTTCACAGATCTACCATGCAGACACACCAGATGCAGTTTTTTCGCCCTTAATATTTTATACCAATCTTATCATGCTTTAATCATCTTAAACCGATAAGTACTGTTAGTTAAGTGGGCAATCCATAACAATCTGAAAGTCATTAAATAAAGCATTCAGGTGACATAATGATACATTTATCTATTTCCCATCGAAGTAACATTGACGGGTAAAATAGCTCTAAAATATGCTTAAAGAACAAACTGAAAGCCAACATAATTTAGGTACTCACTGGACGACCAAATTTGGAAAGCTCTGCGACTTTAGCTCTATGCTGACCTGGATAACCTACATATCGAGACAATTCAGTCAAGCTTCAAACATGGAGATACTGAATGAAGTTTGAATAATCACCACATGCAAAACTTTATAACATGGACCTTCCCCCCACTTTAACAATTCAGAACATCAACTAACATCATCAATGAAAACTACATGTCCATTGGTCAGATTAAGTTGGTGAACCTGACTCAATAGCTTGGTCACCTTTAGTTTATGTCATAAATATTGAAAATGTGGAACTGTTTTAGAGCACAAACACACACAACCATAAGGTTTTTTGCAAGACTTACCAGAAAATACAACAAAACCATCAGTAGACACCCTTGCCAACTCTGGAAGAGTCTTGTTAAGGTACCTTGGAGATAAGTAATCAAGTGCATCCGACACTATGACAAGAGAAAATGATTTTGAACGGTAGGGAAGAGGAAACTTGATATCAGCCACACGTACAATGGCTTTGTGCACAAGAGTCTTGCAGCTTCCATCAACATCATCCAAATCATATGGTTCCACGCCCCAGGCTTCGGTATCCTCCTCTTTTAATAATTTGGAGACCACTGAACAGGTTTCAGGGCCTACATGCAATACTTTACGCATGCTGTCACCGTATGCTTTCTTCAAAAGAGGCAATGCTCTCTGAACTTCTGATGTGCATGTAATACCACCTGCATACACCTAGATCTTTAGAATGGAAAATGTTGCTCCGTCTGACAAAGTTGCTCAATAATAATACAACTATATAAGAAACTGACACTCCAAAACATATGTCCTGATAAGAAGTCTAGTAGTGTCTCCTATCTGCACATCCTCTCATTTTCTTAATTCACATGCAGATGATGGAATAAATTAAAAACCAGATATGCCCTAGACTAGAACATGGCATGCCTATCCTTTGTCCTGACTCAATACGATCAAATCTTTACACAACATAATCCATATTAGATTACAAGTCTTCTTCTAAAATCAGTAATACGAATTCAAACTTTTGTAACCCAAGAACTTACTGATATTACGAGGAAAATGAAATTTAGTTATTTCTTTCTTAACAAAAAAGAAAATGCAATTTAACCAGGTGTTGTACATACATAATCAAAAGCAGACAGAAAGTTAAAACAGAGTAACGACAGAATAAACAGTGGTTCAAAAAAAAAAAAAAAAAAAAACAAAAACAAATTAGAAGTCCCAATTCGGTGAACAAGATTAAAATTGGTAAACCCAACAATATGGGATAAGGCACTGCAGAATCTGATAATGATGGTGATAAGCGATGGTAGCAGCAGCAGTAGTAAATACAAGAAAAGTAACAACTCACCAGCTGATCTCACAACAGATGCAGTGGAAGGGATTTGACATTCTTATTTTCTCCTTTGGTAGTTGTGGGGAGGGATTCGGAGATTAAAAGCTAATGACTATTCTTTTAGTTTAGTAACTATGTAATCCACAAGGAGCCATTGCTTTGTGTAGTATAAATGTTTGGGCTTTCAAGCATTAGAATGTGGCAATTTTTTGAGAAGTCACTTCATTCGGATAATGTCAAAGGTTTTGCTTGACAGGGACAAGCTAGCTCTAGAATTTTTCTTTTGTTATAAATTTCATTAATTCTGCCACTCCCATCAAATGTTTCTCGTCTCTAATTATTGATAGTTTGAGGTAATGTGCTTCAAAGAATAACAAGACTCAAGGTCCTAATATTGTTCAATCCAACTTGCTCTAAAATCTCTTAATTCTTCATAGTCTTTGCTTAAGATTAAATTTTCCAGTCAATAGAAATATAATGAATCATGAAAATGATCGAGAGTACACGAAAGGGAATTTTTTTCATAGAAAAGAGATTTGCATTGTTAACACAGCATAGAGCCAAGTGAGAGAAAAACAATTCAGATGGTTTACAGGAAATGGTTCTTAAAAATAAAATTGGTAAATTACAGTGAAGGAAAGTAAAATGTAAACAGATGCTTCTCCCATAATCACTTAGTTCTGAAAAAAATATTTTGAATGAAAATAAAACTTCACACTTTCCCGCTATATGTAATCTCATATAATCGATGAAACAAATTGAAGGAAAATAAGAAGTTTTTGGGCCTGCTTGGTGCAGTTTTGGAGAAACAGTTTTCTGTTTTTTGAGAACTTTCTGCTTGGTTGACAGTTTCTGTTTAAAATGTTTTCTAAAAACTCAGTTTGACAAAAAAAAAAAAAAACACTTGTTTTCTGTAAACAGTTTTCTGTCTTCTGAGTTCTTGAGAACTATTTTCTGAGTGACAAACCAAGCAAGCCCTATTTTCCTTTTCCATTCCGTTCCTGTCAATCAAACGCAGCAAGTTAGTTTACTTGCAAACTTTAGCACCATCTGCTCCTTGTGATTCTTGTTGTAGCCTCTATTTTCCAACACCATTAATGGTAGATATAATGTTCGGTCTTCAACTCAAGGAAAGGGGGGGTTATTGTGTGCTCGTTTCTCATTCAAGTAAGTAATGCAGTTATCTATTTTCTTTTTCATCGCGTGGTATAAATTATTAAAGTCCTCTTCAATGATGCAAAAGGAACCTGGGCTTCTGTTCAACAAGCAACTGATTTTTCCAATTGGATGAGTGATGTGGCTGGAATTTAAATTTATTTACAGTTATACACCCTAACAAACTATACTAAGCAATCACATCCAATTTATGCAACAGTATTGGAAGCAACACATCAAGTTTTTCAAAAAGAGAGACAGAAATATACCTTCAAGTTTGTTGACAGCTTCTATACCACTGTTGTGACCACCTGTCATGCAACAACATGAGGTTTAAATACATGACAGTAAAAATAAACCCCAGTAAGCTTAGCAAGTAAGAATACAATAGAGGTTAATCAAAACAAGTTGCTACAACAGCTCCTCTTCACCATGGTTTCCTAAGGCAGCAGGAACATAACTACCACAGAACAACCATGGGAAACTAAATCTCCATTTCATCATTAAATAAGTATTCGGATTGATAATTAATACAAACCTGAACCATACAGATAGCCAATTATTAGGAATGCACCCTGGAAATTTCAAAAAACAATTCTAATCAGTATTTAACCATTTAAAGGACCATATAAGTAATTGTGCTCAATGCCTGAACTATTATAAGAGGCATCATTTAAAATGGATAATGATGCAATTGGCTTGGGCCAGTAAAAACTATGAGGGAGGACAAAGCAAGAATAGAAATTTACCAAAACCACAAGTCCAAGAGACACTAAAGGTGACGGCCGCGATTTGGGGTGCAAGGAGCCCACCAAAGGAATACTCCCACCATCACCGAGCCGTCGGGATGTATTTACTGGCCTCCTTGACATAGTTATATAGCAGTGATGAGCCTACAAGATTATGATTTAGTTGAAGAAGAGAATAACATTTTCAAAAGAAAAGGAACATTAAATCATGTCTACCACATCAGCTACGACAATAACAGAAACTGTAATCCTACCCCAATCTCAAATTAAATAACAAGAGGAAGCTAATAGAAACTTGATTTGTCATTAAAATACTTCTTTTAAGTTTTCCAATATGGTATTTTTAGTAACAATTTTTTTTGATGAATTATTTGTAGTAACTATTTTACCTACCAATATCATATAATTAAGAGAGAGAGAAAGAGGGATCATAATGAGTTAAATGTCAAGCTAATAATCATCAGTTCATCACATAAGCATGAGAGAAAACTATAACCATAGTATATTTACACAATGTCATTGCCTAAAAGTTTTGGACTCTCAACCTCTCCCAATTTCACCTAATGAGTTAAATGCCAAGCTAATAATCATCACATAAGTATGAGAGAAAACTATAACCATAGTTTTTTACGAAATATACATATATTATTCAAAGGTAATTAGGGAATGGAGATGGTCTCATTTGTCTAATTAAAATGATAACAGTGCAAATCTAAAGATCCCAAATTGATGACAAATGACCATTCTAACATATATGACCAAATTCTTCAGCAGTGGTGGCTCCAGGGGTGGGCTCAAGCCCACCCCAAAAAAAAAAAATTTATTACTTCTATTAGCCCACCCAAAGAAATATTAGCCCATCCCATTGACAATTCCTAAATTCGCCCTTGATAATAATTAACTAGGAAGCAATTAATTTACTAGGAATTAATTAACTAATTCTCATTGCCAAATCTATAGTTCATAAATGATAAGTAAACCAAATTCAAAATTATGCAACAAAAAGTAATTGCAGAACCAGTTCAGAACCACACAAAACAGGTGAATAGTAACTGCAATTTAAGATCTCTATACTTTCCCAAATTTACTAAATTTTTTTAAGGGTTGTTGAAATCTACGGAAGATCTAACCTATGCAAATTTTCATCAAATTAAAACTCCCACGTAATAACAAGATTTCCTATGTCATACACACTAAAATTCAAAAATAAGACATCTTAGGCACAAATTAAACTGAAAATGAGTAAACATTGCATACAATTAATATAACACCCAGCTTCTGTTTCTGTGTACATATAATTAAAAATCACTTTCTCTAAAAACAAACTCTATAATATGAACAACAATTTAGAAGAATTCAAACTCATTTTACCAGGTTAATACAATACTGACCAAATTGAACCACAGAACACAAGAAATCAATGTAAAGCACAAAATATACAAGGTAAACTGGAGAGACAAACACAGAGTAATAAATGAGCAGAAAGGAACAAGACATACCGAATAAGAATAAAAACTACACACTGAAATCTATTATATATAGATATAGAGAGAGAGTGGAGAGCTACCTGAGATGAAGATTGAAGGAGCTTAATTCAAGATCTTGAGTTTGGATCTAGATCTGTTAGTTTGCTTACCTTCTGCTAGCTAGCTAGCTAGCAAGCAAGAGAGAGAGAGAGTGATTTAGAGAGAGAGTGATATTATTACATATATAGATATATGTATATATATACATGTTTGTGTAATATTCATTAATTTACTACTAAGTCTATCTATCTGGTTACTTTCAATTTCTCCCGTTTGAAGGGCTGATGTGTGTCGCTTTGAAACTTTTGATTTACATCGCAGCTGGAGATTCTGTGACTCCAATAGAATGAAAGGCCATGTGGTGCGCACCCGGCGCACAATAGTGGGTGCTGGGTAACTAGTGCCGTTGGGCTGCGTTGCCGACATTTCATCTTGGCCCAGACATTTATGTCCTTTATCTTCACATTTAGTGGGTTGAACTTAAACCGTCTGGGCTTAGCCCAGAATCTAAACAAGTAGTACATTTGTCTGCCCTAGCACATGTACTTTTTATTCTATACATACCCTTTAGAAATACCGAATCAATAATTGAGAGTCCAGACAACTTTATTTATGTCGCGATTAGTAGGTGCATGGAGTCGAAGGTAGGCACTTCAAAATTAATCGAAGGCACTAACTTACTAGGCTATCAAAGCATCTGTTTCATTATATCGAACATAAATATTTATTTATTAAGGTGTAGTTTATCTCTAATTTTATAAGGTGTAATTTCTCACTCACTTTTTCTAATTTATATTTTGAAATTTTTTAACATAAATTACACATTAAAAGATCAGATTTTCGGATCAAATATAAGAAAAAACTGCAAAATTTTATAACAATTAAATCACATAAAATCCGTATGTACCAAGTCGAATCTCATATATTCTTTTTCCGATCTGAATCCTATATTTTACAAGTTTATGACAAATAATGCTGGAATGAAGATGACAGGGGATGACCATTTTTATGCTATTAACCCAATCCATACCACCACCCTATCTTTGGTCGTAAGTTAAAAAGACAATATAATCTTGATGAGACACTCATCAATGGCTTTTACAATAATGTTAGGCAAACTAGGAGATGAGACACTCCTCAATGGCTTATACAGTAATATTAGGCAAATTAGGAGATGAGCACTCGAATAGGGACACACTCTTGAATAATTTATCAATTAGGTCAGTAAATAATGTCAACTTATACAATAACATATAGGTGTAATTTAATGTTGAATATCTCGCTAGCCCATGCTAACATTTTACAAATCTTTTCATAATTGATGATAGGCAATTTTTGTTAGATGTAGTCAACGCACAAATGGTTCGGTTGCTATGGTAGAAATTAAGGATATGCTTAGTTTGTAAGTCTGAAAACAGTTCTCAGAAACTCATAAAACAGATAATAGTTTTCAAAGAACTATAAAAGACTATTCTATAAAAACAAACCTTTTTATAATTGAGTTTTCAAAAAATAATTTTTAAAATTAAACCAAGTAGAATTTTTTTATATATAATTTTTTGTTTTTTTCCCGATAATAAAAAATTATTTCTATGGTTACAAACCAACCAAATTCAATATTGGAGTCATGCAACTCAATAGGGCTGAATTGTGCACACTCGTGCATCTAAAAATTGGCAAGCATGAGTACCTGACTTCATCTATACGAGGTCATGGAGGGTTGTAAATCTTTGGATTAGATAGATGTTATGCGCATAGACATAAAGTAATTTTTTTGAGAATGTTAAAAATGTGCTATTGAGGTTCCCTGTAGAAACTGAAAAGGAAATTGTAAATCCTCTCACTAAAGATTTTCAACCGAAAATAATAAAGTATTAAAAAATATGTGATCCGAATTGATATGATGTCGTTGGAAACGAGTAATCGCTAAAGAAAGCATATCAAACAAAGCTGTGATGAACACGGTACTAGTAGTTTTTGAAATATTGACATAAATAAATGTCTCAACTGTCATACGTATAATATTGATAACTAAAATCAGTTTATTTGCTTTGTTTAAAAATTAGTTTATTTAATTGAAATTTGAAAATAATTTTAATTGACAAAAAAGTCACGATACAGGCTTCTCTTTTGAGATCAGGTCCTGAGTTTATTGCCTAATGTTGTGAAAAGTTGAAAACAGTTGGGTTGAGAATGCCCTTAATTATATTAAGTCATACATTAAAAGATTAATTCTGGCTTGCATGAATATTTAAAATCAATAGTGTTCAAGATAGGACAGATCACGGTTTGGGATAAAGTTCAATTTAATTCGATCCCTATAGATTGGTGAAATTTGAAACTGAACCGATCGAATCTTCAATCCGAACCAAACTGATCCGTGAAATAATGGATCAAATCGGTTCGGTTTTCACTGATTGAGCTATCCAAACAGCCCAGTATGATTACACTTTATACCCCATTAAAATCTCAAATTAGTAATTAAAAGCCTGTAACTAACTTTTTAACATATATCACCACAAACTTAAATTACCCAATAATAAAATAGAATTGTAAATCCTCCAAAAATGAAAATAATATTACACTACCAAATATAAATTATCCAAATAGAACAAAACAAAACACCTAAATAGTAGCACAGTAGCTCATTAGCATAGAAAAAAAAAAAATATATATATATATATATATATATATTAAATAATGAATTAAAAAAATAGAAATAAGTAAGTATATATATAGTTAAGATAACGGATTGGATCGGTTCGGTTAACGAATCGGGGTTTTTCACGGATTATTATTTTTCTAAACCATCACTGAATTATGAGATCTGAAAACCAAACCGAACCACACAGATTGAATTGGTTCGGACCGAATTAACGAATTATTTGTTCATCCCTAGTTCAAGAGTCAAGACTCAGCGTTTGGACAAACTGTCAAAAGAACAAGGACCCAAATTTTGATTGCCATCAAAATGTTTTAGGGTAAATTACACTGACCTTTATGAGGTTTTGATAAATTACATATATAAGATATTTGACCTTTATTATTTTGACTTTCTCTAAGATTTGACGCGTGTGTTTAACGATACCCCCTATCGTTAATAAAAATTTAAAAAATGACTAAATTGTCATTTTTTTTTGTGTTAAAAGACTTATAACAAAAATACCATGAAATGTCATTAAAATTCAAAATATCAATTTTTATATAAATTTATATTATTAAATTTTTTAAAATATAATTTTTTAAAATTTTTAAGACATTTGATTAGGTTTCTTTTTTGGGGTTAATTAGGTCCTTTTCTTTTAAATTAAAAAAAATAAGTAGAATAATATAGTGTTTACAAGAAGGGGCAAAAAAGAGTAATAGAGTCTTTTGGTATAACAATTTTTTTTATTAAATTAATATTAAATTAGATAAGATTATAAAATAAAAAAAAATTACACTTTTAAGAGACATAAAAGTAATAATGGTGAAAATGTTATGTTCATATGTAATTTACTTAAATTTTAAGAGAGATGAATGTAATTTATTCAAAAGTTAAAATCACTTTTATGATCAAAATGTCAGCATGTCACATCTATCTCTTATCACAATCAACTAAAAAACAGTTTATATTTTACCAGTCATGTCATGGTGTTGGACAAGGGCTTTATTATCACATTTTCAAGAGTTGGTTGACATGTCACGCACAACATTTGGTTAGCATAATCCAGCAACATGAAGCCCTGCTTACTAATGTGTTTATTTTCTTACTTTGGCTTTTTCAAAAAATAAAATTATGATTTTAATTTTTTTAAAATAAAATAGAAAGTAAAATTATATTTAGTAAAATTATATTTAGTGAATTTAAAAGTAAAACACAGAAAGTGTGTTTAGTAAATTGTTGTCTACTTTTAAAATTTGAAAGCAAAACACAAAAAGTGTATTTAGTAAAAAATAATAAATTTCTATTTTTACTTTTGGTTCTAATTTTGTTAAGATGCAAAATCAACCTGTATAAAGAGAGAAATGATTTGAAGTAAGCAATACACTCTAATTCATAATATAATATTGATTGAACTTTTTTTTTATTGGAGAGTTGTCTAATATATAATCCATCGCATTTTTACATGAATATATACCATGTTTTTCTTCTCGTATCAGTATTTATCTGTTAGACATCCTCTTTACTACAAAGGCTTGGATTACATACACGAAGACCGCGGTGAGGTATCTTCCTAATATTCTTTTAGAACAACTTTTCAGTACCATTATATGTGCGCAGACTGTCAATTCTTTCCAGTGATTACTGACATTATACCGTTATATTAGATCTTGGATATACGTATATTTGACACGGGAGTATGCACTGGTATGAACCCTTCTTGTGCAGTCTATGCCTGTTTTCCTCTTATTTGATAGTCCACATTAGTATAACTATAAATTAGGATGATAAATAAACTATACAATCAGAATATATATATATATATATATATATATATATATTATTGCAGTAACATGTATGACTAGGGTACCTATTAATGGATAAGTATTCAATGAGTTCAAACTCAAAGAATAGCCTGAGACATTAAATGATGCAGTCATATACATTTTCCTGAAAATTTTGGTTTTCTTTTATGAGATTCCGTTTTCTTTTCTTTTTTTAATAAATTAACGTATAACGAATAAAACGGAAATTAACATTTGCCTACATGAAATATAAATAGAGCATGGACAAAATTTCAGGTCATAATGTAATGGTTCTTACAGATTGCACGGGTAGGGATCCCAACTGCACCTGCCTGGCTTCCAACACAAATGCTCATTAAGGTACTGTCAAAATTTTCAGCTTGTTCTCATGGGTAGCTCACTATTACGACTTTATTTCTGCAGTTGAAATTGCCAAATTTTTTTTTAGAAAACCAAGACTTGAAACAGAGTCATTTTGAGGTACCTATTGTTTGCTTACTTCTTGTGTTTGCTTGCAGTCTGATAGGATCAATTATGAGAGAATGTAAATTATATGCTCCTCCGGCAGAATTTTAAGATCAGATGATGGTTATCGATATTGCTTTCCTCATGCTGTGATATTTAGAAGAAGAAAAAATAATTGTCTTGAGGATTCTTTGGTTTGTCATCAAATGGCTACTTTTTGAGTTTTTAGAAAAATATATGCAATTTTTGTATATCTGTCAAAATATAACGCGATTTGTTTGGAGATGATGCTAATAATGTCTTCTTCTGCATCTTCTACCACTGTTTATAAGTGCATTAGATCTGCCATATATGAGAAAAATGCATTATTCTTCAGCAAAAAGAGATCAAA